CTGCTGTGGTTGTTGCAATGGTACTACTGGTTGTTGTTGGGATTGCTGTAATGATGATACTCCCATACCAGCGCCAGTACCAGTGGCCGGAGGAACAGCAGAAACAGATAATGAGTTTCCTCCTGGCTGTAGAGACTGCTGTGGTTGTTGTAATGGTACTACTGGTTGTTGTTGGGACTGCTGTAACGATGATACTCCCATACCAGTAACAGTACCAGCAGCCGGAGGAACAGCAGAAACAGATAATGAGTTTCCTGCTGGCTGTAATGGTACTACTGGTTGTTGCAATGGTACTACTGGTTGTTGTTGTTGTTGTTGTTGTGATTCTATTGTTGTCGTTCCCATAGGAACTGGAACGTAAACAGCCGTTGTGAATGGAGAAATACCAGTAACGTTCACACCTGGTGGAATAACCCACAAAGGTGATGTTTGCGTGATGGCTGTCACTCCATCTATTGAAGTCTGCACAGCCTGTACCGCCGTCTTCTCTCTTCTATCAGTTCCCTCTTCTTTATTATCATTCCCTAATAATGATCCTTCTCGTTGTTGTTGTTGTTGTTGTTGTTGTTGGGGTTCTGTATTCTCTATTTGTGTACACTGCACTCCTGCAGAAGAGACCCCATCACCACGTATACAAGAGATAGGGTGTGATGGTGTGGCGGAATCCGCTAAGCGTAGAAAGGAGGATAATAACAAGGATGACCTCGCCGGGTGAAAGGCAAGACCCTGTGATGTCTGTTCCTTTGGCTTTTCCTCACACTGCGTTGCCTGTTCCTTTTTTGTATTCGCATTCTGACTATTACTATTACTATTACTAGTACCAGTATTGTTATTCGTACTACTAGCAATATTAGCGGTGGGAGTGGTTTCTTTTTGCTCTTCTTCTGTAGTAGGAGTAGTAGTAGTATTAACAGCAACATTATTATTATTATTATTATTATTAGTAGTAGTAGTAATGGGTGTTGCTGTTGCTGTTGAGTGGAAGATATGATGATAACCCAAACAACAGGAACAACAACACAACATTGGCCGTCTGTGTTCCACACCGCCGTCTGTGATGTCCACCTCTACGCCCTGCAGTCGCTGCAACAACCATGCCTGGGCACTGGGACTCAATACCGTATTCGTATTCGCATTGTTACTATTACTATTACTATTAGTATTCATATTAGCATTCATACTAGTAGTAGTATTAGTAGTAGTGTTAGTATTTTCACGGGGTGGTGAATGTGTACAGTTGCAGTGATGTCCATTCGTGCAGTTGTTTGCCACACGGCCGCGGGATTCCATGCGGTGTTGGAGTCGTCTACAGGCCGCCGCATCCATACTAAAAAGAAAGAAAGATATATATCTCTAAATAATATATATATATATATATATATATATA